AGACAAACTTAATTTTGTAGAATCACTTTAGAAAACTTCCTACTTAATTTTCAGCAAATTATAAGCATAGAATAATAGTATTATGCTGTTCTTTCAAAAAAAAAATTCCCTTTTTCTTCTCTTCTCCATTTTAAGTGTGTAAACAAATAGAAAAGTTGTATATACTTAATTAAGGTATGTTGAGAAGTCGAGCAAGATTACAAGCATCCATCAATACTTTAGAGCTTGTTTGGGAAATTATTTTTGAAAATCATTACTTTCAAAAGTGTTTACAATCACATATTTTATGGGACACATAAATTGAATTTCCTTATAAAAATTATTATTACTTGAAAAAAATATCTCCCAAACTAGTTCTTAATTTGACCCCAAGCAAACAAAACATAAACTGCAAATGGTATGATATCTATGAGCTTAAGATACATTAATTTGGAAAAAATTACAACATATGGAAAATTGTCAAACAAGGGTTAGCACTTTGAGTTTGAATGAGCAAAATAGTTCTGTTATATATATTGACGAAAAGAATTATAGAGTTGATTTCAAGACGAGCTTATTAAAGTTCGACTTGAACAAGTAAAGATATTAAGGTGTATGTCACAAATATATTCTTGTTCCGAGTCGGAACATATCTACAAATTTTTTGATTCCAGTTAGTAAGAGGGATCTTAAACTAAAAAATAGACCCTATAAGCCAAAAGATATCTCTTTGAATTCATTTTAATTTCACTATTTAACAATTTGATTACAAATCTTGTGTTCATTATAATTGACATCATATCATATACTCTTTTACATGTTTGGTAAGGTAGACAATATAATATTAAATAAAATTAAAGGAAAAAAAAAAGAAAGTTGAAATCTTGATTATAATCATATGCAGTCGAATCTAACAGTTCATATAATACATATTATTTATATAAAAAAATTTATGGTCTGTTCATCTCTTTCGGTCTCTAATGAGTAAAAAATGAATAGATCGTGCAATATATAATTAATGTTCTTGTATGCCAATCCTAGTGTTGTATATAACACAAAAGGAACTATTTTAAATAACTTTAAAAAAGCTTAGAATTGTGCTAGGAACTATCTTTTCACTATCACAAGTTTAGGATATTAACATGCTAAGCACGAGGAACTATTAAACTTAATAGATACACCATGCAAATCTTAAAAAATAAGTTATTTATTTATTTAGTTCTTGTTTTGTTTAGATAAAAATTATTTTTAGTAAATTTGGATAAAAGTTGGTGGAGTGTGATTGAAAAGTTTTGAGTCCCACGAAACATATGATTAAAATAAATTCTTGTTTTTGACTTAAATGTTAATAAACTTTTTTAGATGAACGAAACAAGAGCTTATTATTTTTGATGTTATGATTTCTCCTTTGTATTTTGTTAAAAATTTTAAAATCCGAAGTAAAAATAGAAATATTTCCTCTATATTATAGAGAAAATTTGATATCTATAAGAATGCAATTTTCATTTATTGATTGCAAAAATATAATATTACATATTGTATAATTTTATTCAATATTGTATACCAAACATGTCATTAGTGACGGAATTCAACAAAATGGCAAATAAAATGGTTGGATCTTCCTTCAACTTGTCAAAAAAGGGTTAGATAACAAAATAATATATTGAACTTGAAAAATAATGTGTAACAAATTAAATTGAGGCGCAGTTATCTCTCTTTCCTTAGGGAGATTCGGGAATAAGGTGACTCGACTTATACAAGTGCATATAATAACGTCTTTCCATAATTTAGTGTAATTTTTTTCACCAATTATTCGACGTCGTTAAGAAAGAAAAATAAATTTAAGTTTTGAGAGGTGTACATGTTTGGTAATAACAACCTGA